TTTTTTTTTTTTTTCTGACGGCTCAGCTTTTTTTTAAGTGCATAATTGCTGTGGCTTTAGACGGCTGAATTTTGTAAAGTGCAGAGTTGTCGTGTTTTTTGACGGCTTGTTTTTGTAAAGTGCGTAAATAATGTCGTGGTTCTTGATGGCTCATTTTCGTAAGTTATGTTTGTCGTAAAGTGCCTATCAAAAAATCAAGCTTGGCCAAAGCCAAAAAAAACTCCAGCACGATTTGCGTGCACAAGGGGGAAGTAGTACAGATTCATTGATTGCAGTAAATATTGCCGTGGGACAATTCTTTGTTGGTGTCGTGCTTTCTGCAGTGTCAGCGAAAGTCTCTTTTAGCAGTTGACAAGGACATGCCTTGTTCCATCGTAAGTCGAGGGCAGTAGAGGTGTGGGTGTTGGAATGGACGTTTCTTACCATGTCAACGTCTCTTATGGACGGCCTTGGTTTGTTAGGAAGAATCGCTCCATATCGCTCCGCTACCCGCCGCTACCCAACCCATCCATGTTCTTCGCCGCCTTCTTGAAATTCATCAGGGACAACCTTGCCTACTCCACGCTTTGTTCTTCGATTGGTCGAAAGCCTTCGATTCCGTCACTTTTACGGCCATCCGTTCCGCAATGGAATTTATGGGAGTTCATTCTCATGTTTCCACAGTTGTCATGGCTCTCTAGGACAACTCTTCCTTCGCAGTGCGGGATTTTCAAGAAACATCTTCTCCATGGAGGGTCTTAGTCAGGGCTGTTCCCTCTCCCCATACCATCTCATACCTCTTCAACATGATTTTCACTCACAATTTCCGTGAGGTTGGGGAAAAGCACGCTCGCTCCTTGGGACTAATAGCAGGAGTTCTGCACACCTCTTCTCCCTGTGGGATTCAGGGTACCCTGATGACACAGTTCTCCTTCTAATTCTTCCTTGCAGATTACCCGTCTCCTTCACATTATTCAGAGACAAGTGTGAACTTCTGATCACAGAATTTACCCTGCTCCCCCCCCTTGCTTTATCGACTGCCAGTGCACGCACTTCAGGGTCTTTCTCAATCAGGTGGCGCAGGACGGGATGCCTTTGGCGACTCCTGCAAAAATAGAAGCTACTGTATCTCCCAGGCTGTTAATGCTTCCAAGCTCCTAAAACACTTACTCTCTCACTCCTCCTTCCCCCTTCTTGGAAACTCACAGTCCATAGATCCATCGTGCTTTCACTCCCCCAATGTACGCCATGGACAGCGTTTTTCTTTCCATTTCTCCCTCCCAACTTACCCGTACCAACTCGGCTCATCTTAAGTTACTCAGAATTACTCAGAGGTATCTTCAAACTCAAGTCTTCCTATTTCACTGGGGTTTTAACCCTTCTGATGACCGGACTAGCCTATTCCTTCAGCCGTATTATCACCCCTCCCAATCTTATTCTCATGATAGACTTAGATTATTTGGGCAGGTTCTGACACATGCTGACTCCCTTGAGTTTCAGTCCGCATTCACGCCCTCCGGAGTGTTTAGATTTACCTCTGGACCCAACAGGGTTGGCAGACTTAGGCTCCACTGGGCAGAGTCCTGTATGGTGGAGGGCTCAACCGGTGTATTGACTTCCTTCTCTCTGACTGAGCCCCTCTCCATTCAGATATCCGCAGCGCATATTTCCAGATTCCCAGCGTGCAAGCAGCACGCGCGGCCAACCCCAAGTATTAGTTGTTTGTTTTGCTGCTGCTGCTGCTTTGCTACTGCTGCTTCTGCTGTTCCTACTACTGCTGCTACTACTACAACTACTTCTACTGCCACTAAGGCCACCAACCTATTACAAGAGCGACGACTACTATTAGTCTTACTTTTGAGAGCTCGGCCCCAGGGGATGCAAGGAACGTATGTTACATCCTTGTGTTTTTCGCATGCCATTAAAACCTAGTTCAAGGGCGTTTTGCTGCTTGAAACATTGCTTTTTTGTGCCAGAGGCCTAAGTTCTTTCGATGCTTGAGCATTTGTTTGATCCCGAACCCAACGGAACCCCAGCTGATACAGTGGCACAGACCAACTGCAAAGGTGAGATAGGTGGGCAGGGATGAGTGATGGAGCAACAAGTCCAGCAGGATCGAGTCGTCGCGACGAGACGAGCCTAGCATAGATCAGAACCGGGCCTAGTAGTTCCATCCAGCGCAGCAAACATGGAGGACATCCCAGTAATGCTACAACTGTGGGCGAAGTGCTGCCAAACATGCCACAAACAGGACAAATGCGAGGACGTGCTTAATCGACGACAGTTGCTTATATCACCACAAGGCATGCGCCAATACCTCAGCCAACGCCCTGCAAAGTGACATGCGCTGAGGATGCCCAAACATTACCCCGAACAGAAGCATCTCATTATAAACCCTGAAGTCCCGCAAGGCTTGTCGGAGCGACACCTGTAGCACAGTCAAACTGTTGAACCTAGACATACCTGAGGATATGCATGCCGGAGCTCGATACCAAGTTCGGCCCGCACGTCATATTCGATCAGGTCCGCCGGCCCCCCATTTGCCCAGGGCTTTAGTTCCCTCATGTTACAAGCCGCTCTGTCTTAGGAATATGTTTAGTGTGAAGGTGCACTTTGCGCGTTTGTTTTGATCAGCACCTTTGCCATTTTTCGTTGCAGGCGGGGGAGCGCGACCGTGCCGAGTCTGCCTGCCTCAGCATTCTTGCGTTATTGGCCCTCAGATATGATGCCAGCCAGCAAGAAGATGGGCAGCTTCCTTGAATTGAGGTATTAAGTATTCGACAGTCAGGAATCATGTCCTGCAAGATCCTGGTGCAGAGGTTGTCGTAACGTTGATGTTTTGACGTGTTTCGTGATGTGTGGCCATATAGCACGATGTGTTTTAGCTGAGCGGGTCATGGCTCACATCGGATAAGGAGACCTTCACTGCCCCACAGGGGAAAAGTTCCAAGCTGTTGGACCGACAGTGGAGGGCGCTTCAAGGCATCATACAATGGATCGCGCCCACTGTGGAGCAGGCAGGAAGCTGCAAAGTCGTGCGGCCTGGCCTGGCGCACATAACATCCCATAACCCTAGCTGCAGACTTCCAAGGTTTGTAAAGACTTGAAGACCAGCGCGTGTGCTGACAAGTCTTGCATCAATTTCTGGGAAATCCCAACTTGTTTCTGCGCCGCCAGTGCCTGATCTCGGCAGTTCTTGATTTTCATGCATCACCTATTCTGCACGTCATGTCAGCGCTTGTTTTCTGATACTGTATGCTTGCATTTAAGCTTCATTCTGCAAAAGCATCTTGAGTCCTCATCGCAACAAGCTTGTCGCTTGGCAAGTTTAGCCGCTGGACAGCCAGCCGAGTAAGTGCTTGAAAGGTGCATGGAGTATTGGTACTTCTTGCCATCCGAGCGCTGGGAAAAAGCAAGATGGTTCTCCGCCAGGCTCCTCTGTCAAGTTCCTAGTAGTTACTCATGTCCACAACTGCGCACTTGAGATGCTGTCAGGTCCCAAAGAATGCACGGCGTCCTGAAAGGGCCATCTTGTACCTGATTTCCAGCCTGGGCCCAAGCTCAGACAATAAATCATGACAAGTGGATGCAGTGTAGCCAAGACATACTGCAACGATTCTCGAGATGAGAGTGGTGCCCAGGTGAGCAACATGTGGTGCCTTCTGTCCGCTATTTGAGCGCAAGGGCCGCTACATTTGTGCAGCAAGCCTTGGAAGTTCACGAGAGGTTCAATCTTGCTCAGAGACTCGTCTGACAAGAGGGTCGTCTCAGACAGACTCCGTAGGATGTAATCAAGGGAATGCTCTCCTAGAAGCGTACCCTGACATAAAGGCGTAAAGTGCTTCTCCGCGGACAGATCGTTTGCACCGGAAGCATGTACGTCTTGAGGATGCTGCAGGGTGAGAATGTGCCGGGCAGCGTCCTCATTTTGCAGAAGGTTATTGAAGAGCTCGGAGCAGATGGTGAAGATGCTTCTTGGCACAAAGCTTTGGCATGTTTCAGTTGCGTGGTTGCAGTGCCACAAGCGGCTACTGCATTTGCGACATGTCAACTCAAGCAGTTGCCTTTGGCCAGTAGCGCTCCTTTGTCAGCGAGGTCTTCCACTTCTACATTCTCTTTCTCCTCGGTTTCATGAGCGGTCTAGCGGGCGGAAGAGGCTCCAGGTTTCCTGGCGAAGTTTTATTTTCTGCTAGGCACAACATCATAGAGCCTGCAGCTGCTTGATCTTGAAGCATTTTCCATCCTTGTCCCAGCATAGCAGTTGCTGATCTGAGAAGACTTTCGACCAATGAGTCATGCTGAACACCTTAGAAGGTACGATGCCTTGAGACATTCCCTGTCCTTCATCTGCGTTTCTCAGAAGCGAGCATCACCCAGGTTCCTGGACAGCAAGAATGCAGAAGGAGTCCCGGCATTCAAATGAGCGCCAGGCGATGATGATTTGGATATTTCGGCGCTTGTTCTCATTCAGCACCACATGCCATCTGCCACCTCAGGAGTGATTTCTGGAATTCGTATGCTTCAGCAACTCCTCACTGGAACGCCCAGAGGTATCTACTGGGGATTTCTCACTGCGCCTTACCTGCAAACTTGCGCTTCTCCAGCTCCAAGCTATTCAAGGATGCGGCACTGGCCGTCAGAGTTCGCTTAGCGACTCTAATGTTACCAGGACAATAGTAACCCCTCCCCCCTCCCCCCCTCCCCCATACCAAAAAAAGGCAAACAACAACTTGTTTGCGTGTTTGGTTCATGGAAGGTACCGGGGGGGGGGTCGCAATAATTAATTAATTATCGGGACATGGTGTTAATTACTTAATTATCGGGACATGGGGTAGTACAGTATAGTGTCGTATAGTATAGTATAGTGTAGAACGGTCTATCGTAATGATACTGATGATGGTTTGTTCCTGAGACCCTGCAGCCCTGAACTTAATCCGTGCGCTTGATTAATAAGAGCGCCCCCCCTATATTAATAGAAAAGCCTCCTTATTTCAGGGGCCCCAGATGCTAGAAGGAGATTTCAATTGTAAATGACGTCCACGGAACCCCGATTGGGGTCCAAGCAAAATCAGTATAAGTTCAATTAAAATCCATTTGAATCTTATTGAAATCGGACCCTTATTTCCTTAGGGTTTGGGGATAACTTTCTTTGAAACCTTGTGGTTTTCGGCCCAAAACCTGCCTCCGCCTTTAAAGTAGTCTTTGACCCCCAATTTGTCCCCAAGAATTTTCTTTAAATCTAAACAGTTTTACTAATCAAGAGCACGGATTAGGAAATTTTCGGGCGGACAACATTCTAATTGCCGACCCACCTAGCATTGCCGATGGAACTTGTTCAGACCTTTTCGGGCTCCGAACTTGTTAGAAAACAAATGTAGTCTTCCGGGATTTTCTGGCTCGGCAACAATATATTATTGCCACCCCCTCAATTGTTGGTATGTCAACATTATTGACTTGGGCAAGCTTGCCTGTCCGGATTTGACCTGCATGTTGCCCCAAAAACACTCCAGCGGGACGAGCGGAGGACGAGCGAGAGACGAGGTGCAGTGATGTGCAGTGGTGGAGAGCGATAGCGAGGGACGAGCGAGGCACGATTTGTATATAGTGGTGGGCAGCGGTGGCGGCGAGGTGCAGTGGTGGAGAGTGATATTGGGGGGAGCGGGGGACGAGTGCGGTGGTGGGAAGCGATATTGAGGTGCAGCGATGGAAAGCCATAAGCCATATAGGAGCGATGTCGGGGACGACGGGGACGAGGTGGCATGGGCAATATTGGGGGTGGAGGGGACGAGCGGAGGACGAGGTGCACGGGTGGCTGATATGGAATGGCCAGAGGCATACATATCAGGGGATGGGAGAGGGAGGAGTGGAGAGCGATACAACGCGGTAGCGGGGCAGGACCAACATGACAACATGTTGAGCGAGATCGGTGGACGAGCGGAAGAGAGGAGAGCGAGCGATGTCGGGGGGAGGAGCAGAGCGATCTTGGAGGAGCGGTTTTGTTCAACTAGACTATTACTACCACCAATTCCTCTTTGCACGAATTCGGATTCTACGAGTAATAGTGCGAATCTTCATACTGCAGCCTGAGCATGACGCATTTCGATTCTTCAGCTCGCGGTGGAATTGCGGATTTGCTTTTGGGTTCCCGGCTCGACCTTGGTTCAAGTATAAATTTTATGTAGCTAGGCATGGGCCCCTGACATCTGGCTGCGGGAGTTTGCCCTGCACCGTCATTGTGCACCTAGGCTCGCGCACAATCCCTTTGCCTGCCCAAAGACACGGCGGAGGCCCAGGGGCAAGCGTGAAAACTTTAAAGATAATTACATGATGGATAAATAATATCATCACAAACATGCTCCAAAGGTGCCTGTTGTCCCAGCGTAGCAGGACTTGGTGCTCGTCCGCATGGCCTGCCTTGCTCGAATTACAGATGAGCAAAGCTACGTAAGTTTGCGAAGCAGCTGGGATGCCTTGGGTGCCTTGGCATCCATTGTTGATGCCTGCTTGCCTTTGTGTTGCAGATGAGTGGCTGAGCTGACAAGGTTATCGGGAGAGAAACATCCTCACAGAGCACTTCCTGGCAGACGGCATCAGCGATAGAGCGTTCATTTTTGAGTTCCTTCCGGCGTGTGTCGCTTGGCCTTACTCTCCTGGTACAGGGTGCCTGTGCTTCCAGTTGCCCACTAGGTAGGAAAACAACATCACGACAAGACTTCTTATTTGTTCACCTGCATTGCTCCCAGACCTTGCTGAACATTCAGAGGGGCCCTCTCAGGGCTAAAGTTCCATAAGCAATAGAGGCTCATTGGCACAGCGGGGAGAGTCGGAAGGTGGCTTGACAAATGGGAGCCTATTTGTTTAAGGATGTTTTTTTGTTTCTTTTTGGGATTTTTTTT